GCTGTGTACTTCTGAATAGTAGGTAACTTAAAGTACCTAAATAAGGATTTAGAGGCATGAAATTTTAGGCACCCATTTTTGAAAATCAGTTTGTATGCCCACAACCTCCCCCCCCCCCCAAAATACTGTATTTAAACAATTACATCATATTCTTTATAAAAAGACCTTGTGGGGTTAAAATACTGTTGTTTACTTTTAAATCTTATTTATATTATATCATCTTCAGGGCAGGAACTGTCTTCTACACTGCATACTACTACTCTACCACTACCGTACAGAGCCTAGCACAATGGGGCCCTGTTCATAGGCACAAAAACAGCAAACAGAATAAATAAAAAATAAAGAAGTGAAATGCACAGAGTTCGGAAGTTTAGTGTTTTTAATTCACTGAAAGAACTGAAATCAAAGGAGTTACTCTAGGTCCTAGAATTAGGACCAATATGCTTGGTGTTTACTGGTTGATATATCTGATTGTTTGTTGGGAATGTTAAAATGTTTTTATGGAAAGTAATCATCATATCTGGAAGAAATGATTTAGTTGGGGATTAGGTCCTGCTTTGAGCAGGGGGTTGGACTAAATGACCTCTTGAGGTCCCTTCCAACCCTGATATTCTATGAAATAATGTTAATAAATAATAAACAAACAAACAAAACAACTAGCGTTTATGCAGTACTACATAAAGTGCTCTGAGAAGCCAGATAAGTAGCATTTTCCCATTTTACAGATGAAGAAACTGTGCATAGGAATCAAGGTTGGTTTTTCTTTGTTTTTTTAAAGGAAACCTCCAAATTAAGAATAATGCCCTGATTCTGAAGTGGGGCTCTGGATAAACTGTCCACACTGAAACTATAACAGGAATGAAGCCCAAATGAATAAGAACAAATGAAATTTTAAGAATCACTTTAGAAAATCTTTCATCCTCCAAACCTTCAATCCTCTGATGACAGTTTTCCGAGTTATCCAGAAATGACACTGATGGTACCTTGTTTCAAACCATAGGAAGATGATAAGTGTTATTGGGTCAGATTGGTCGTCATTTGTTAGTTAAGTTCAAGCATAAATCTCACATGGTGCATTAAAAGGTTACAAATCTGTGAGAGGCACTATTTCCCCAGTATATCCTCTGACTCCCCATTGTTATCCCATTTGATTTCACCCAACATGTTACTACAGTATTCTAATTTTTTACCTGTGGTAATTCAAATATTTCAACCCACTTCAAAATAAGGTACTGGGAAAGCTCAATCAATATACAATATCTGGTTTCAGTAGTCAGTTCATATTCTGATGCTTTCTGAACTGTGTGACCACTACCTCCCAGTGTAGCACTCATAATGGCATGCCAGGATTATGTTTACCAGAGCCCTATCACTTAAAATGATTGCCCTATCCCTGTAAGGGTTTGGAGCTCTGCTGACTTGATTAATGATTACACAGTTGGGAAGCAAAGTGTGGTCCCAGGAGAGTATGGTGTGCTCTACTGGGGATTGCACAAAGCTATAAACCAAATAATTGCAATTTAAGATCACTTGTATGGATAAGGTCTTGGCAATGGCAAGGGTCAATTTTTTGCTAACAAACAAATGCTGCAAAAATAATGCTTGAAAATGGAGTCCATTCAGTTAAAGGGAAGCTTTTATATTTTATCTGCTTTTGATTAAATTTAAATGAAATAAGTCATTAAAATATATGGTTAACTGAGCACTTGATACAATTCTGTATATGCTATATTCAGAGACAAACAGGCTCTCATTCTCTCTAAGGATTAAAATAATTAAGTAATTTATCTGAATACCTCATACTTCATTGGCAAATGCAGCAGAAACAGATAATAAATACTATAAAAAAATCTAATCACACTTTGCAATCACATGGCAACACCGCAGTACTCACGAGAATGAATTCCTTCGTAGCAGTGTCATGAAAACGAAGCTCAGACACCTCTGTTTCAGAAGCCGCCAGCCACTGCAGGGTCGTTCTCAGCTGGGGGTCCACCATATGTGGTTCCATGTCAACATTCACTATTAGCAATGCCTTTCCTACCTGCCCCACACCTAATATTAAAAATAAAACGAACAATCAAATCTGCAAGTCAACCCCAGACTCTTTTGAGATAGGTGAACTAGATATTTAATGAAAATGTATATATTAAATACCTCACTTTTAACTCTCATTTTAACAAACATATTTTGATCAAGTAGCAGAGATTAGAAAACACACTGGTCTGAAAGCGTCCTATTCTCCTATATAGGTTGGGATGGGGAAGGGAAAGCATTACTAGCTCCACAACCTGTGGCTGAACTAAAGCGTACCTGAAGGCAGAAAGAAATCTAATCTTGATTTAAAGAGTCCAAATGATGGAAAATTTACATAATATGTTTGAATGATTAATTGCCCTCAGTTAAAAATCTGCATTTTACTTCCAGTCTGAAATTTGCTAACCTCAACTTTCAAACACTGGCTGTTAAACTTTCAACTGCTAGATTAAATAGCCCTTTAGTATAATATAACTTCTCTCTGTACAAATTACACAGTGATCAAACTGCCTCTTAACCTTCTATACAAAACACTAAGTTGACTGAGCTCCTTTAACATTTCACTGTGAGACATTTTTTCAGAACTCAAAACCATACTTTCTACTCTTTTCTGAGTCATCTCCAATTTTTCAAGATCCTTTTAAAAGTATAGGTACCAGAATTAGGCGCACTATTCCAGAAGTCATCTCACCAGTGCTAGACAGAGAGGCAATAGCCACCTCCCTACTCCTGCTTGATGTTCCACTATTAATACAACTAAGCATCATGTTAGCCCTTTCTGCCACAGCATCACAAAGGCAGCTCATATTTAGTTGGTTATCTATGATGACCATTGCACCCTTTTTGGAGTCACTGCTTTCCAAAATACAGTCCCTCTTCCTCTAAGTATGGCTTACATTCTTTCTTCCCAGATATACGACTATTTGTATTAAATGCCTGTATTAAAGTACACAGTTTACATCAGTTTAGCTTCTATAGGCTTTCATGGAATAATTTATATAATTCTATTGTAGCACACAATTTAATTGAAATTCACACCAATGTGGCAAAGCTCAGCAAGGAGGAAGAGAGATCCTGTAATGAAGAGGACTGCCCGCCCTCTGGGAGGAAAAAAAAAGGAATGCAACTGACAATGGGGGAACCAAGAGTTAATAGTAGGTACACATTTGGCAGACAATGGGGAAATGATTTGGCTATATGCCTGGAAGCTTGACATGTCATAGGAGGAAAATGCTAATTTCAGAAAATCCCTGATACTCAAATGGATTGAAAGCGATGTGGTAACATGTCTACATACGATGGACTTGCCCAGTGATTACATGCTTTTCGGTTTCATATGCTACTTATTCACTGAGGAAATTGAAGACCTTCACCCAGAAATCCTATAGCTGGAAAGGTACCTCAAATAAAATTAGCTTAGAGAATGTTTGCAGTGTTGTTGCGGCTGTGCTGGTCACAGGATATTAAAGAGACAAAGTGGGTGAGGTCATAGGTGCCGACTCTGTGGGTATTCCGGAGCTGGAGCAGCCATGGGGAAATATGGTGGGTGCTGAGCACACACTGGCAGCCCCCCTATTGGAACTTCCCCCTCCCCTCAGCGCCTCCTGCCCACCAGCAAGCCCTGCCGATCAGTGCCTTCCCCTCCCTCCCCATGCCTTCCACCCGCTGCAATCAGCTGTTTTGCGACCTGCAGGAGGCTTGGGGGGGAAGGGGAGAGCGAGGAAGGGGTGGGGTGGGAAGAAGTGGGTGGGGGTGGAGCAAGGGTGGGAAGAGATGAGGTGGGGACCTTGGGGGAGGAAGGACAGGAGTGCGGGTGGGGTCTGGGGTCAAGCACTCCCCAGCACATTGGAAAGTGGGTGAGGTGATATTTTTTTATTGAACCAACTTCTGTTGGTGAGAAAGACAAGCTTTTGAGCTAACACAGAGTTCTGACCAGAAGAAGAGGTCTGCATAAGCTTGAAAGCGGCTCTCTTTCATCCACAGAAGTTGGTCCAACAAAAGATATTACCTCACCCATCTCTTAGTTTAGAGAAGACAGAACTAGTGACTGACATAGAATCATAGAATATCAGGGTTGGAAGGGACCTCAGGTCGTCATCTAGTCCAACCCCCTGCTCAAAGCAGGATGAATACCCAGACAGATAAAGGGTAATCATGATCTCTTCACAAGTGGTCATTCTCTGATAGCATAATAAAGTCTAACCACACAACAGAACAATTAGAACTGATTTAGCTAAACAGATAAATTAACAATAAATTCTGAAAGATGGAACAGACATTAGGAAAACTGAATACACTTTGCATTATATTTGTTTCACACTTAGCTACCAAATGAATGCAGAGTATGTATTTTTCTGTCCATACTGTGACATACTCTAATGTTCTTCAGGACAGGGGTTATCCTACCTGTGTGTTTGCTCAGCATGCACAAAGGGTCACAATCCTGATTGTGGTCTTTGGGTGATACCAGAACGCAAGCAATAAAATGATAAGAAACAACAATTCTCTCCATTGAATGATGAGTGGATAAGTCGATAAAATGGAAATAGCTGCACTAGAAAAATGGACCACAAAATTCCATAATAAAAGAGTAATATATTAAACTCTAGAAAACATTTTGGAATTGTGTGAAAAGTTAAAGATCAAGAACTGTTTTACTTATAGCCACTTGGTGGATGCTACAATTTAAAGCTCTTTCAATCAAGTAGGAAACACAAGGAAAGCTAACAATTTAATATTGAAGGCACTGCAGTATACCTACAGAGCAGAATATAATTTGATTACATTACACAAAAGGTATTAGCTATTAAAAAGATAATTGTGTAGATAAAGACAGGAGAAGCAGGATTAATTTAGTCAATCATCTCCCTCAGATTCTTGCAGATGCTTAATGGCAAGCCAAACTTTCTTTGCTTTTCCTTAACATCTACTAAATTATTTTTTCAAAAGACCGTGGTTGTATTCCACATCAGAAAGTATGTTTCCCCACATCAAGGCACTGAAGTTGTGCAGCAAAATTCACTCCCTAGTGGGAAGAGTTAACTAGAGGTTTATTCTTTCATACTTCAGAGGCCTTGTCAGTCAGCAAACTCCTTGTGGTCCCATCTAAAACATCTTCCCAATATATGGGAATGTCAGCTGACACAGAGATATCATAACCAGCTCCCCCTTCATCAGGCCCACATAGGGCTCACAGACCTATAGATTTTAAGGCCAGAAGAGACTGACATGATCATCTAGTCTAATCTCCTGCACATCACAGAATCTTACCCACCTACTGCTGTAACAGACCTATATCCTCTGGTTGAGTTACTGAAGTTCTCAAAATGATTTAAAGACTTTATGTTACAGAGAATCCACCATTTACTCAAGCTTAAATCAGCAAAAGATCTGTGCCCCAGGCTGCAGAGGAAGGCAGGGTCTCTGCCAATCTGACCCAAAATTCTTTCAAACTCCGACATGGTCATCAGCTGGACCCTGAGCATGTCGGCAAGACTGACCAGCCAGACACCTGGGAAAGAATTCTATGTAGTAACTCAGAGCCCTCCCCATTTGGTGTCCTGTCTCTGGCCATTGCGGATATTTGCTACTAGCAGTCACAGATGGACCACATGCCACTGTAGACATCATAACACCCCCTCCATAAACTTATCAAGCTCAATTTTGAAACTTGCGTTTTTTGGTCCCACTGCTCCCCTTGGAAGGCTGTTTCCATTGCTGTGTGTGTACTACCAAAGCAAAATAATTATTAAAACTAACTCATGTAAAATTACAAAAGGTCAGTTATCGCAACCTGTACTGAAATCATCATTACCTTCTACAACATTCTTGGGGTCTTCATCTTTATCTTCTGTTCCATCACTGGATTTTAAAAATAAAATATCAAAGAATTAACAGATACCCAATACATTCACGATGGATGGAGCCAATCCTAAGAATCAGTGATGAGTGTTAAAGAGAAAAGGAACATGACCATGAAAAAGCATCTTTGCTTCTTACACCATTTCATGTTGTAATTGGGTTTATTAACAAGTTCCCAAGGTTTAAAAAAAAAAACAAAAAAACTAATAAAGAAATCCTACCTTAATATGAAAAAAATTCTAAGGGATTTTAAAAAGGAAAAAAACATGGTGCTACTTTTGAGTAAGCAGGAAAGTTTATTTTAGCTTCATTACAAAAAACAAAATAGTTCACTGCATTCTTTCAGTTTATATTATTCATATTAAAGACCCCACTATAAAATAATTTTAAAAGTTTTCATAAGCTGAAGCAAAAGAAAAAACAAAACAGAAATCCTGTAGGAAGCAAGCACTCTTGTTTGCATGACAAAGCAAATGAACGACTTAGAGACTAGCAAAGCAGAACATGCACAAAAGGTATTTTTCATTTTGCAATTAGACATTTGCATTTTAGCACAGCAGAATTTATCCATTCAGTATGAATTCATTGTCATGATTAAGTGAAAAAAGCATGTTGATAATGTATCAGATTAACACATTAATTGTATCCCTCATCTTCAAAAGTGATGATTTCATGCATTAATTATGAGGAACCTATCTGTTCAAATTTTTGGACTCGACCAACCTGTCTGATGTTGGAAAGGATAAATTCTCCTCATACATATCTCCTTCTAAACCAAGACTGCTCCAGCTACTGCTGTTACCATTACTGCCAGGGGAAGAAGAGAACAGAGCTGAACTAGAAAAGAACAATAGCTCAAACTAGAACCTTTATTTTCCTCAAAGCTGCTTTGATGTAAGTAGGTTTGCTGGAACAGAGTATAAGCATGACCATCAGGGCTGTTCAGAATAGTAAGCTGCACAATCATGAAATCTGGTGAGCACTATAAACAGTTGACAAGATTAATTTGTACTCACACTTATTTTCCAAGTCACTGTTTACAGTAATTCTGTCCTTGGGCCCAAATCTAAGATCTTTATTTGTGCAAATAGTCTCATTGATTTCAACAGGACTGGTCACAGGTCACAACGTAAGCGTATACATATAAAATATTAGGCAAGAGCTCGTACAAGTATACACTGTGAAGAAGGCTTCACAATAAAAATATATTTCTGTAAATCTCATTCCAAAACCCCAGCAGTGATCTACAACAGGTCTGATTAGCAGGAAAAGTTTAGAATTGAAAAATGAATAATATGCAGAAAATATTTTACTTCATCCAAACTATAAAATTCTTTACAGGTGACTTTTTTAACATTGCTCTTTATTATTTAGAACGCTTCTAAAACATGACTTCTTATTTTGCTACAAGGTTTTATTTCACTAGTAGTTGGAGATCCATTCCACAGACAGATTGAATTTATTTTTTATGTTTCTATGCAGGACAGGGTTAAATTGGGTAAAACCACCACCCTAGAACAAAGAGGTGAATGCTAATTTAACTTGAATGCCTGGAACCTTCCAATATATTTTTTAAAAATGTTGCAGAACTCTGATTCAGCCAGTTTGGTGCACTTAACTAAGAACATGCTGTGTTTTAGTATGTCTGTTCACTATTCCAATAAAGAAAAACAAAAGCAGCGATTTCTAGAGTCTCCAAAAAAAGCAATTAAGTTCTAAAATTGCAGCAAACCAACTAAAATGGCACAGCTTTAAAAAAAAAATTCTCAAATTCAGAGAAGTACTGGACATGCAATTACTACAATAACATGGATAATTGCAATACTACAAAAACTAATTATTATACAGACAGTTGTGAAAATATTTCTCAAGCAACAGTGTGCTATATACTATGTGAACATTTTCATTTTTATATATACAAAAAAATGAAGTTTTTAGTTCTGAATTACAAATATAGCATTCCACAGCACAAACATTAAATATAGTTTATTCAGATGACTGCTTTACACATACATATAGCACCTTTCATCTAGACATTCTGAAGTGTAACTAAAAAACAAACACAGAAACTAAAAGAGATCAGTAAAAAGTGACTTGGGCCTCAGTCAGACTGTAAAAGAGAAAAAAAGTATGATGCTTGGAATCTAATAGAATTATCTTGTACATAATGCTGCTCTGATTATGGAGCAGCTTTATATATTTTCAACAAGCCACACTAATGTTTCAATTACTCAAACTAGATACTCAGCCACGTGGCTAGACTGTGTAGTAGCAAAGTATCTGTTTTCATAAGAACATAAGAATGGCCATAAAGGTCCATCAAGCCCAGTATCCTGTCTGCTGACAGTGGCCAATGCCA